TCCAGCATCTGTTGTTATTAGAGTTCTTGATTATAGCCATTCTAACTGGGGTGGGGTGGTATCTCAATGTTGTTTTGATTTGCATTTCTTTTATGGCTAGAGAGGTTGGGCATTTCTTCATGTGTCTACCATTAATGAGTTTTACAGCCTTGAAATCTGTAAGGTGTGTGTTTGTGTGTGTGTGTGTGTGTGCATGGAATGCTTGCATGGTTTCTTTTTTTTTCTTTTTTACTAGGGAAGGGGGTGCTGGTCCTATGGCTTGACTTCTGGGCCTGGGCACTGTCCAGAGCTTTAGTACTCAAGGCTAGCTCTACCATTTGAGCCATAACTCCACTTCTAGCTCTTTGGTCATTAATTGTCTCGTGGAATTTCCTGCCCAAGCTGAGTTTTAACCATGACTCTCAGATCTCAGTCACCTAAGTAGCTAGGATTACAGGCACAAGCCACCAGCACCCAGCATTTGCATGGTTTCTAAAGGGAGAGGCCAGAGCTATGGATAGATTGAGTATCCTTAAGGGGTTTTACTTGATCATGATATGGACAGTAAGGAGAAAATTATATAGGGATAGAAATATACAGAGAGAGACAGAGAGAGAGAGGGAGAGGGAGAGAGAGAGAGAGAAGGGAGATGTCTGCTCATTTGCCCAGGCTTAATTCTAAATATGAGTGTCAAGGAAGAAAGTTTAAGCATCAGTTCCCTTTTGCTCCCCAATTCCATTTGGCGCTGACATACTCTCAGGTGTCTCTACCTGTCAATACCCAGAACTCCAGAACCTTCTGGAATTTTCTGCCCACGCCCTGACAAAATCTACTTTTCTAAGACTTTTTTCCCATGGCTAAAGTGCCCAATGTAAATCTGATTACCAGTTGTGAGCTTAGTTTAAAACAATGACTTTATGGTAGGTGCCGGTGGCTCATGCCTATAATCCTAGCTGCTCAGGAGGCTGAGATATAAGGATCACAGTTCAAAGCCAGCCTGGGCAGTCTGTGAAAGTCTGTGAAACTCTTATCTCCAATAAACCACCAGAAAACCAGAAGTAGTTGCTGTGGCTCAAGTGGTAGAGTGCTTGCCTTGAGCAAGCACTACCAGTGACTCCATATCTTGGCTTACAAGAAATCAGTGGGGACAGGACCAGCTCTTTATTCATGAAGGGACCTTCCTTCCACCCCCACCTCCCCCCCGTATTCAGAAGGATTAATAATAGAGCTCCTGCGTTTCTCTTACCACTCTCTTGCTTTTGTCCACAGGCGATCTACAAGATGGTTTCCTCTGTGATGAAAATGCCTGAAGATGAGTCAACCCCAGAGAAAAGGACAGAGAAGATCTTCCGCCAGATGGACACTAACAGAGATGGTAAGGGGCAGAGGCTGCTCAACTTGGCCCAGGTTGGGGCTGCTGGGGAAGTCCTGACAGGGAAATGCTACTTAGAGACAAAGTGTCCGCTGCAAGAACCTGTCACCCTCTGCAAGAGTGGCCCATCCACATGGCCCTGCTGGGTGGGAAGGAGAGAACTAGGGTGGCCACTGAATTGCTGATCCCAGTCCACAGGGAAGTACCTTACTTTCAGCCCTTCTCTCTTCCTTCTAAGTCATTCTCTACCCCCATCCCCAAAGGATAGATCTTGTGAAGCAGAAGGAAAAGGACTCAAGAAACCACTATTAGCACAGCCCAGTCCTCAGGAGAGGCCTTGGCCTAACACAATGGATCCCTGCAGCGAGTTAGTTTACCAGGATTTGGGAGAGCTTGTTACTCCTAAGGAACCGGGCAGCTACTACCCCAGCCTGTCCAGTGGTTTTTTTGTTTTTGTTTTTGTTTTGTTTTGGTCTGTCGTGGGGCTTGAACTCTGGGCCTGGGCGCTGTCCCTCAGCTCTTCAGCTCAAGGTGAGTGCTCTACCACTTGAGCTACAGGGCCACTTCCGGTTTTCTGGTGGTTTATTGGAGATAGGAGTCTCACGGTCTCTCCTGCCTGGGCTGGCTTTGAACAGCGATCCTCAGATCTCAGCCTCCTGAGTAGCTAGGATTACAGGCGTGAGCCACCAGCACCCGGCCCTGTCCAGTGGTTTTATTGGTGTCTCTGAGCATGCTTAAAAGGCTAAGACAAGAGAACTCCCTTATGCATTGGAGATGGTGGAAGAAGTTTGGTGTGAATGCCAAGAAGGGGATGCAAAGCAAACAGAAGTAAAAAGGAACATTAGATTTCAAACACAAGGGCAAGCTGGCTGTGGTCTGTGGTCTCAGTACTAGGAAATTAGAAGCAGGAGGAGTTCAAAGCCAGCTTAGGTTCCATGGTGAAACCTTGTCTCAAAACTTAAAATATTATAAAAGGAAAGGACAGGACAGGATAGGCAAGGAAAGGAGGAAAAAGAAGGACATGATTTTTAGATGTTAGGTTACCAAATAGAATGCAGGAGACTCAAATAACTGAATTTAGAAAAAAAAAACAAGGAATTTTTTTATGAGTATGCCCAAGGCAATATTTGGGACATACTTATACTAAGAAATTCTTTGCTGCTTCTCTGAAATTCTAAGTTAACCAGATATCCCTTTTTATTTGTCAAATCTAGCAACACTATTTTTGATATAGGACCAGAGTTCACAGTGTTTTAAGCTTATGGCTTGGCCAGTCACAAGCTCTTTAACTCTTGCTGTCATTACCAGCTCACCCGTTCTGCTCAAAGTGCTCAGCAACTAACCAGTTAATTAATTATTGTAGTATTACAGTTTGAACTCAGGTCCTTACACTTATTAGACAAATGTCCTACTGCTTGAACCATCCTTCTAACCCTTTCTGCCTTAATTATTTTTCAGATAGAGTCTCAAGTTTTTGCCTGGGGCCATCCTGGAACTGTAATCCTCCTTTTGTGCCTTCTGAATAGTTGGGATCCTAGGTGTGAGCCACCATATCTAGCTTGTTCTTTGAAATAAGGTTTCCCTAACTTTTTTTTGCCCAAACTGCTCTCAAACTACCATTCACCTATCTCTGCCTTCCAAGTTGCTGGAATCAGCTGTGTACAACAGGCACATGCAGCCATGTGTCCCATGGGAGGCTGAAAGGCAGAACAGTAGGGGGTGTCAGGGCCTCTTTCTGTACCTATGTGTGGGCATCAGCTGCCTGAGAATCTGGATTTGTGTTTCTTCCATAAAAGTGCATGACATCCTTTTATATCCTGTTTCCCCCATACCAAATAGCTTGGTGTTTTGCAAAGATTTCACAAACATGAAGCTATTTGAATAATGAACGTGTTAAATTGCAGCTTTCCTGGTGCTCTGTCCTAGGCCTGCCTCTTTAGAATAGGGATAAAAGATGGGAGATTTACCTGGGATAAACACTGGACTGCAACTGGTCACAGGAAATGGTAGAGCCTTCCGTTGGGACTCAGCTACTATGAGGTCAATGGGCCTGACTAGGTTAGCATTCTCAGAGAGTGACTGCTGAGAGTCCTGGGCTTTCCAAATAAAATATATGTGTTTAGAGAAAAGGGGAGGGAGGAAGCTGGATGCCAATGGCTCACGCCTATAGTCCTAGCTACTCAGGAGGCTGAGATCTGAGGATCACAGTTCAAAGCCAGCCCCAGCGAGAAAGTCTGTGAAACAGTTATCTCCAATTAACCACCAAAAAGCCAAAAAGTGGGGCTGTGGCTCCAGTTCAAGTCCCAAGACCAGCACAAAAATATTAAATTAAAACTGTAATCTCAGCCACTTGGGAGATAGAGGTAAAAAGTCAAAGTCTGAAGAAGGCAACATATTCTAAAACAAAAGAGACTCATTTGTTTCCCCAGACAAAACAAAACCAACAAAATACAGGAAACTTGGAAGAACTAAAAGCAGAAGGACTGTCCAGGTTCTTGCTGACTGACCTGTAACCCCAGCTGTTTAGGAGCAGAGACGATAACCAGTCTCTGAGAGGGTGGGTGGGGTGCTGCTCTCTACCGGGGAAGGCCACCGTGCCCCCTCCATGCAGTGGGAAAGGTGTGAAGTCATGCAGGTGCCACTAGCCACCACTTACCCCTTCTCTTCCCTCCTAGGAAAACTCTCCCTGGAAGAGTTCATCCGAGGAGCCAAAAGCGACCCCTCTATTGTGCGCCTCCTTCAGTGTGACCCCAGCAGTGCTGGCCAGTTCTGAACCTTCCCACGCCACGAATCCTAGAGCTTCTTGTGTTCCCTTTTGATTCTTCTCTTTACTTTGTTGTTGTTGTTGGTTTGGGGGTTTTTTTTGGGGGGGGGGTCCGGGGTTTTTTTTGCCAAACAATATTGATGGTAACACTGTCTCCTGTGCAGTCAGATGCTTCTTCCTCTGTGACTCCCTCACCTGCAGCTTCTCTCCTCGTGGACGCTTCGTGGGAATGCCCAGAGCCTCATTGCACTTGTGGGAAGCATGAACAGACTCTGTGGTGTTTGTCGTTCAGTGACTTTAATTGTTGTGTTTTTTTTCTTTTGATTCTAATGTCTTGGTTCTGAAACCTAAAACTCTGGGGAAGGGCCAAGCAAAGGGAATTGTATGCAGCCCGGTGCAGTGATTTGTTGAAAGTTTCCAGGAGTTTTGTTGGAAAGATGAAATTCCCCAATTGGGTCTGTCTGTACATATTGTAGGGACTGAAATGGCACCAGAGGCTAGAATTCCCAAGAACAAGGTATCCTTTGGGGTGAAGCTATTAAAAACAGGTTGGGATGTTTGCACTTCACCCTTCACCCCAACAGGCTGTAGTTTCTAAGCTGTGAACATTTCAAAGTAGATGAATGGAGGAGAGAGAAAAGATGGCTCAGCTATTTTCTCAAGGTTTACATTAGTTGAGCTAAGATGAGTTTCTTTGGAAATCAAACACAAAAGGCAATGTAGTCCCAGAACCAGATCCATTTGTTGCCTCTTGTAATTTCAAACAACAACAACAGAAGACTGCTGTATATAAAATATTGGGTATTACAGACCAAATTAAGTGTTTTGCCTTGTAAATGCATGTTTAGTGAGCACTAATACAATCTTATTATGGAAGACTGTTTTTAGTAGCTTATTGTAAAGTAAGCCAACTATAATGAATGTCTGTCTTGCTTTAAAGTCATATCTTTGTACAAATGTACCAGTCAACAAGCATATTTTATATATTCCATCAAAGTAGTAAGTAATTATGATGAGGACCCAACTTTGATCTGAGGCGCTTTTCTGGAGTTACAGGGCAGGTTACAGGGATGATGACAATTGGAGCACCAGGAAGTTGACATGGCTGAGAGTAGCCAGGCTGGCAGTGTGCCAGCTCAGCCTAGCAGCCCTTTGGTAGCATGACATTGGAGGTGTGGATGTTTTACAAGCAGATGTATACTCCTGAGACATGAAAATATAGCTGAAGTCCATAAGGACTGCTCAGTGATGTAGCCCACGTTCTTGATGAAGAGTCATAACTTGACAAGTTCAGAGGTCAGGCCATTGCCATCATAAGGAGGAAAGAGGAAGCGTGTCTGTGTTATCTAAGGCCCACTGTGGGGCACCCAACAGTTAGTTCTGATCCTTGTGTTCTGTGAATGTAGAAGTGATATCACACGTTTGGGCTGGTCACCACACACATACTTATTTCAGTTGAAGATTGAGAGTAAAAGCTGCTAATTACAGGCAAGTCAAGCAGTTGGCCTGGGGAGACCCAAATTCTCAAGGATGTGGGTGTGGGGAACCTGCTTCAGAGAAGGCAGAGAGGCCCCCAAGGCTCCATCTACTGCCAAGCCGCTTTCGATAGAACAGGAGCCACAGAAAGATAAAAACAACTACACAGAGAGTGAGGCTGTGTCCATTCCGACCTCCAGATACCTGTGTATGATTTGAGCCCATTCTAAGAGGTAACAAGTCCAAATTTGTATGATGAGCTCAAAATGAGCAAACTTGTAGAGTACAATTTTGAACCTTGGGCTCAATGATCATAATCTGCCTTGGAGTGTCAGTTCCTCATGTTCTATACCAAAACCTGCCAAATTCTTCTCTAGGTAAGGTTTGCTTTTGCAAAATAGGGAATTAATCTAAGAGTAGAGAGAGGGAGAGAAACCCAGCACATTCAACTGCTGGAGTTCGGGAGTTACTTCCAATTTTTCCTATACCGGACTGAAAACTCAATTCTTCCTTTTACTTCTTTTCTCCTGAAGCCAGTTAATGTTGGAGAAACCTGCCTGGGCTTTGCCCTCAGTCATGACATCTGGCTGAGCCAGACCTACTGTGTGGCTCACACCTATAATCCTAGCAACTCAGGAGGTTAAGCATTGAGGACTGAGGTTCAAAGCCAATCTGGACAAGAAAGCTTGTGAGACTTTTATCTCCAATTAAGCACCTCCCCCCCCCAAAAAAAAACAAACCCAGAAGTAGAGCTGTGGCTCAAGTAGTAGAGCTCTAGCCTTGAGGAAAGAAAGCTCAGGGACAGTGCTCAGGTCCTGAGTTCAAGCCCTAGGACTGGCACCAAAAGAAAATAAAAGGAGTCAATGCATGTCTAATGCCCCTAGAAGGTACAGTTTGGATACTGGCCAGTCTCTGTTTTTCCAGGGATGTTCTTTTTTCCTTTTCTTCCTTCCCAGGAAGGCTTTAAGTATGTCTTACCCAGTGCATTCAAAAGTAGCCAAGGTACTGTACAACACCCAGAAGGCTGACTGCCTGAAGGTTCCTAGTGCTCCTGTACTGGACTATTAACCATCCTTGCTGTTCAGAGACTTCTGGAAGTGGACTGTTCAGTGGTGAACCAAGGGACATGGCTTAGGACCTGAAGGATGATGCTACAGAACACTCAACTGTTCACACCTCAGGGTGAAGAGGTGCTGCAAGTGCTGTCCCATCCCAGCGATATGCCCCATGGGGTCTTTCCACAAGTGGATTTAATGACCATATATATATATATATATATATATATATATATATATATATTGTATATATATATACATATATATATATATATCTTATAAGCAGCCTCATATCAGTTGATTTTGTGTAGCTCTTGCCTGGCATTAAAGCATGTTTATTGTTTAATATGGTTGTCTTGAATGTGATATTTTCCTGACTTCATATTACCCCAGCTGACTTGGATCTTAGTGAGGCTGCAGATTTGGGTTTGGGGTACTGTTTCTGCCTAGAGAGATACAAAGAACGTCGGTGGGTGGGAAGAGGGATGGGAGAGAGCACTCAGCCCAAAACTCTATCCCAAAGCCTCCTCCGTGTGCATATGATTCCTTACTTCCCTCTGATAGTACCCTCACTTTCTTCCTGCCTCCTTGCCTTTCACAAACTGGAATCTGAACATTAGGCCCAGCTGGAGAAGCCGAAACAAACTTTGTCTCAGTGGGATCCAGGTAAGTCTAGGGAAATTAATAGTCCTCTCCCCTCCCAGCTCAGTCTGAGAGGACTCAGTGGAAGAGAGGACACAATGCCACGCCTAAACCTCTTCAGAGCTTTCCTTGTTTCAGTGTTTTCAGCCTTGTTGCTCTCCCAGAAGGCCAATACTGGCAGAACAGGGGGCTCAAACTTGCTAACTTGTGTTAGCTGTTATAGGCCCCTTCAGGCCAACCTGACCACATACAATTGGTCTGTAAAGACCAGCACTGGCTTGCCTTCAGCTGCACCTGATGCTCCTAGTCTACAGCATCTTCTCAATGTCCTGGCCCAGCTGAGTCCCTTCTTAGCCTAGTTCAACATGGCAGAGACTTACCACCCAAGGGGGTGGTTACTCCCTTAGGCAAGGCAGAGAGCCCCAAGGACTGTCCAATGAAGAAATGAAGCTGTTCTCCAAATGCCCCTGGACTTTGCTAGGACTATGCTCAGCACTTTCCCCAAAGTTGTAGATTTTTAGGTTATTTGAAGCAACAACAACCAGATGAAGTCCTGGAGGCCTGTATTTCCTGATTCAGAAGCACATCAGTCAAATAAAACAGGAAGATGGATGGATGTGAGATGAAGAGAGACATTTATGTCCAGGATATTCCCAGTTATTTGTTCAGTTACAGGATTTTCTTAGGCAGGTGCTGGTGGCTCACACCTGTAATCCTAGCTACTCAGGAGACTAAGATCTGAGGACTGCAGCTCACCACCAGCCTGGGCAGGAAAGCCAGTGAGAGACTCTTCTCTCAAAATTAAACACCAAAAAGTCAGAATTGAAGCTATGGCTCAAGTGGTAGAGCACTAGCCAAAAAGCTCAAGGACAGCGCCAGGCCCTCAGTCCAAGCCCCAGGAAAGAAAATATTTTCTTCAGTTCAGTGCTGACTGCATGCCCACATCCTGGGAATTTGCTGTCTGTGTTAACATGCGATGCACAGTCTCAACAGTCCCAGACATTCCTGAGGATGCTAACAATATTACAACGCAGGGCTATTACACAGCAGCGTGGCCAGCGTCATGGTGAAGCTTACGTCATCACTTCTTTTCTCAACACTCCTCCAGGAAGTATCTGGGATTTTAATTCTCTGAAAGAAATGGTGAAAACACTTCAAATGCTGGAACTGCCAACCCAACCCTTAGTAAATACCTCATAACAATAATACCTTAGCCACCAGTACCCACCAGGCAGGCAGGCAAGCAGACAAATCTCTCTCCCTCCATGCCTCCCCTCACCTCCCACCCCCTTCCCAGTAGCAGTATTTTGGCATTCATCCTGCTCACATGCTCAATGGTGAACCTGAACCAGTACTAAGTCTGAGTTTTGGCATTCTGTGGCGTGTAGACATTATTAAGCCAAGGGTTGATCTGGAAAGGACACTTGACTTGGCTTAGCTGGAAACTTCTGTCCAGCCCTGAACACAACTGCAGAGAAGTTTACCTCTGCCTGATGGCAAAGCAGAAATGGAGTTCTTCTACCTGAGTGGTATGAGATGGATGTGTGCTGCCCAGGGAAGACATGGGTGATGGTTGTCATTGGCTGCTCTTCATCATGTTCCCCGCCCCCAAGTCTGCAATATCAATCCATGCACCCATTTATAGAGGTTTTCTGGTAAGTCCCTGAGGGACAAGGGGCGTATGCTATCAAGGTGATTGTCCAGGAAATGCCCTGGGGGCGGGGAGGGCTTCACACATGGTAAGCCTAATTCACCAAACTGCACTGCCAAGTGTAGGGGGATGTAGAAAGCATTTGCATCCCTAGCACAACCTACTCAGGCAGATTTGAAGAATAGGCAGACTTCCTCATGAGGTGGTAGGACACAGAGTGTGATTAAAGCTTGTGGCCCATTTCAAATTCCATGATTTCTCCAAAAGACTACTCAGTCAATAATGCAGCTACTCTTTTCCCACTCCTGGTTCAGGCGTGGAGGCCCTGGAGGTCACCGGGGGTCAGGTCAGTCAAGGGCAGGCTTGTTGAAGGCAAAACATTAGCTGGATTTGAAAGCTGAGGACATGGGTAGACGGAGAAAGAGAAACAAAAGAACACAGGTCTGTTCATTGCTTGCAACAGATGCTCTCAGGAGGTCCTCACAGACAATGGTTGGAGCAGGTGGGAATGGCGCTGCACCTCAACAGACAAGGATGATGCTTGCTGGTGTGGGTTCCAGGGTAAGAGCATCTTATGAATTGGAGGTTTGAGCCATGTGGTTTTTAGCCTCTAACACAGAAGTTGGCCCAGAGAAACTGAAAGATTTTGAGGAGGTCAAGGGGGGGCCAGGGAGACTGGAAGACAGAAGTGGGAGGGCAGAATCTGCTCCAGCCTCAGGGATGGGTCAAAACAAGACACATCTTGGGCCAGGTGTGATGGTATACACCTGCAATCCTAGCCACTTGGGAGATGGAAGTAGAACTCGTCCCAAGCTGACCTATGCATAAGTCTCGGACCCTGTCTGAAAAATCTAAAACACCAGAAGGGCCAAGTGCCAATTCTCACTACTCAAGAAGATGACATTTGAGGATCATGGCTCAAAGTGAGTCTGGCAGGAAACTCTGGGACAGTCATATCTCCAATTAATTACCAAAAAAGCCAGAAGGGAAGCAGTGGTTCAAGTTATAGAGCTCTGGACTTGAGCAAAACAGCTTGGGAGAATGCCCAGGCCCTGAATTCAAACCCCAGAACCAGTGCACGCACACATGCACACACGTATACTCACACGCACACACATGGAAAAAGACTGGGGTTGTGGCTCATCCTTAGCAAACACAAGGCTCTGAGTTCAAATCCCAGTACTACAAAGTGTGTGTGTGTGTATGAGTGAAAGAGAGAGAGGAGAGAGAGGGAAGGGGGGAAGGAGAGAAAGGAAGAGAGCACGAGCAAGGCACCCGCCTGCAGAGGGAACACCTGAAGTCTCTTGATGCCTTTCCCCCTTCTCTCTTAAGATCAAAGTGAGGTGAGAAAAAAGTACCTTGAAGAGTAAATTGCTGCTCTGTTACAGCCCTCGGCTCTGGGTGCTAAGGGAGGCTGAAATTTTCTAAGGTCATACCAAGACTTTCTTCCATTCAGGCAAAGAGTTCCAACTCATACAGAAAACACCAGACACTGTTGTTTCATTCTTATGTTATGAATATTTATTTTTCTTCTTAAAAATGTACAAAAAATAAAATAACTGTATTTATAGTTTATAGATTCCCCTCTCCCATTTACAAAACTATTAAGTTACATTTATGTTTTTTTTGTTTATGTGGGAGAATACATATGAATATATATATATACATATA